GAAAGGCCTAAGGAAGTCGTCGTTGTTGTGGCTGCTGGCTGGTATACAAAAGCGAAAATGAATTCATAATTAGATGACACCATCCGTGCGTAAATAATAATTTTTGCCCGTTTTTTCTTTTTCCTTATGCAACCTCGACTGAGCTGAGCTCCCACTGCTAGTTAGTTAAAACGCGCGAATGAGTTTTCTTGAGTTTTCCCTCTGCTTTTTCCATTGTCAGCAGAAAATTTTGCCTCTGCTCAAGTTTTATATAAATATATATATGTACATGTATATACATATACATATATATGTGTGTATATTAGCCAGGCAGCGAGCCTGTGGGCTGAGGTTCAGCAAGTTTTTATCCAATCGCTGCTCTGATGTACCCCGTATTTTGTTAGTATAAAGGGTATATTCGAAAAGATGACATAAGGGGTTTATTTAAAGAGACTGATTTTGGATTGTTTACATAATAGGTTCTATATTTATTATTAATCAGTAAGTATCAATGAACATTAAGTAACTATGAGCAGTAGTAACCATGAGAATGAGTAACTGTGAGCAGTAAATATCTATAACCAGTAAGAAACTTAATTAGTAAGTATCAATGAACATTAAGTAACTATGATCATTTATAAATTATGAGCAGTAAGGAACTCTGAACAGTAAGTATCTATGACCAGTAAGTATGTATGCCTGATCAGTTACTAACTTTGACACTTATAAACAATGACTTGCACTTTTGTAACACAACATATTTCTTATACTTGGCCTGGAGAAGTCACTTCGTTCGGGGATGTTAGAACCAGTTGGGAATCATATGCTCAGATGTGCGAGAATTGAGCAAGCCATTTGAATGAAACTATGGAGTTATTCGTTTATATAATTATACTAGTATATAAGTCGGAGCATGGCGAATCGGTGGACTATATATGACATATATATAGCTGCATAGGAACGATCAGAAAATTTTAAGCATTTATAACTTTTCCAGTTTTCCAGATTTCAATCAAACTTAATATATAGCCATTATATATATTACTCTAGAATTTTGGTGAATCATCTTTAAGTTATTGCTTAAATTAAAACTCGATTTAGTTTAATAATTCCAAAATATATGATTTTCTTATACTTTTCCCTTAAACTGTATCGTATTTCAAGAACTGCTTTTAATTCAAACTCGATTAATTTAATAATTTCTGGACTACATGCTCTCTTATTCTTTTTCTTTTACTGTATCTTATATGTTTTCATACAAATTATATTATAATTAGCTTTATAGGGAACTCATAATTCTTAACATTGACCCTTGAGCGCTACTTTCCGCTGTTGGCCAAGTTACCTACGCCATTGGTATCATCTCGGCGGCATCTTCTGCTGCTAGTTTGGCCGTTCAGTTAAGTTCAACGCTGCTCAGCACGTCTCATCCCGGTTTTGGCCAAGTCTTAGCCCAGCTCTATTTTGGCCCGCTCGGTTCTGTTCTGTTCTGTTCAGTTCTCTTCTGTTTGTTTCTTTATCGCGCTTTCGCCAAGTGGCAAAGTTTTCTCGTTATAAGTTTTGTAGCCTTTGTGTCTCTCGCGGAGCAGCTCGAAGCTTTTTGCCGGGCCGAGCGCGATGCGAGGAAACTTTCGATATTCCTTCAAAAGTTTATGGCCAAGCGTCGAACGAGTCGCGAATCGCCAAAAAAAAAGGACACCCACTCACACACCCACACAGAAAAATTATGGAGGACGCCAGGATTCGCCGGCAACACGTTTCCCTACTTTCCTTCCCCAATTGAGAGTTGGCAAACAAAAAAATTATATTATTTTATTGTTGTTTGGCTGGCGCATAACTTTGTGCCAAACACTTCGTTCACTGTGGGACTCGCATTATCCCAAAACGAAAGTTTTCCCCTCTTTTTCCTTTTTTTTTTTTTTTTGTATATTTTTCTAGGAAATGGAAGACTTCTGTTCTGTGTTCGCCTATAACTTTTGGCTCCATTTGCCGCCGTATTCCGAAGTCGGACGAAGTCAGAGCCAGACCCTGGGCAGATAAGGAAAACTATTTCCATATTCACATGCAACTGGCAAGTGCACTTTAAATTCTTGCAAATGAGTAGCTCGGCTCAATGCGGTTGAACAAATTTACCATTCACATTTTGATTGCCAAAAAGTTTTGATGCCTTTTGTACCGAAGTGATAAATAATAATTCATATCAGAATTTCATACATTTTTAAGGAAACTTTGCTGATATAGTGCTGGGAAAATCCGAAAGTTTGCTTATGTGACTAATTAGAAACAAATTTAAAGATTTGTTTTCATAAAACTTATTGGCACAAGAAAGGAAAGTATCTTCGGAAAGCCGTAGTTAATATATTATAGATTTATCATTTGAATTCTATGATCGAATGGAAAATCTATCAAAACCAAGATTAAAATATCTCACTTTTTGAAACGATATTTTTATATAACATTTTTTTCCGCAAATGAAGATTTAAAAATCTTATAACTAAGCCAAAAATGTATTAAATTTAGTTGGGAAAGCTTTCCTATGTTAGTTTTTCTCTAGCAATTAATCAGCTTACTCAATTAAAATTTAAACATTTGACAATTTTGGACAATTTAACGATGTAACCCTATAATTTTTTGGAAGAACATTTTTTATTTTTACCCAAACATGGCTAAATCGACTGGGCTGTTGATGCTGATCAAAGTATATATGGTATAGGTCGATAATGACTCCTTCATTTCAAGCTTCTGACTTAAATTATATTGTTCAAAAAGGTATAAAAACAGACCTTTTTTTAAATTTCAATTTTTCGACATATAATTAAGACAAATTCATTAATTTTAATTCGGAAAGCTTTTTGTGCTAGTTTTTATTGAACTAACAAATCTGCATACTGCGTTTGTTGATGCTATTGTCAGTTTTTGACTAAAATCATAAAAACCTGCAAAAAGGTATAAAAACAGACAATTTTGTCCAAAATCATAGTTTTAAAACTCATAACTAAGCCAAAAAATGATTAATTTAATTCAGAAAGCTGTTCTATGCTGGTTTTTAATAGATCAACAAATCTGCATACTCAGTTTTAAAATTTTAAAATTTGTTGTCAAATTTGACCATTTTAATGCTGTAACCCTTATAAAAATTTCAATTTTCGAACAAATTTTAAAATTTATCGATGTATCGATCGGTTTAAAGCTGATCAAGAATATATATGATTATAGGTCGGAAATGACTACACATTTTACAAGCTTTTATAATAATAAATAATAATCTCGATACGAAAGTTTATACAATATTTTAAAGTAAACTTTGCTCTTCCAAACATATATACAAATAATATCTATAAAGTACAGCTTAAATTATTATTGTTTTATTGCCTCCATTGGTGACCTTAATGGATCTTCCTGCCGCTGACCAAACAAAGCGGATGCAGTGCCTCAGGCAACCGCTGATTCCAACCATATGTCCCCGTGCCATATGTTGATAATTGTAAATTAAAATGGAATTTTTGTCATACGCCAACAGCAATTAATATGCAATGAGCGATAAATAATAATAATTAACAAACATATTATGGACAGGAGTGGATCGAGAGAGAGGGAGTGGGTGGACAGTGGTTTAGATTTATGCAGGAACTAATTTTCAAGGTCATTAGAATGCCCACCGAATTGGGAGAGCCACTGACACTGAGCATCCCATTGTTTGGCTAATGTTTATTGATAATCACAGACAATGGACTAGCCCCAGTGTCATTGTTGTTGCTATTATTGTTCGAGCGTAACCCATAAATACTCCAGGGGCAGTCAAAACAATTGCCGTGAAAGGGGGGACTGGGTTGGGCTTCTGTTTGGGTTTGCCACCAGGCGGTGGCGCCTCTGACTGAGACAATGAGCAAAAGGCAAATCAACGCAATCGATAGGCACTTTGATTTTTGGGGGCGGAGGGAGAGAGGACACCACCCACGCCCACTGGGAGGCAATGACAGCGGCGGCTGAAATGGCGACAACTATTGTCCTTTTTTGGGTCCGGCATGCAGCAAATGGCACAACTTCCGCTCTCGCTTGACTGCTGCAAAATTCACGGAAATTATCAATAAATATGCGAAGGCCCGAGAACCCGTGAAATGAATGAAACTGGCAAATTTTTCACCATATCTCCGGCTCTGGCTGAACTGATTTTTATGCAGCACGGCACACGATCCAATGTCCCTGTGTCCGAAATGTCCGAGATTTTGTGCGACTCTCCCCGCCTCATAGCGGAAGCATCATTATCATAAATTATCATTTTGTAGGAATTGCATCCGCTGGCAGCCAGAAAAACCGAGCAATAACAACAGAAATGACGACAATTTCAATTGCCGGTCGCCCTTCCTTCATGTTTTTTTGGGATTCCCCTTGCCACTCCCACATTACTTCTGGCCATTCGAATTGGCAAATACTTTTCTAGTTTAATTTATGGCTGACCAATGCGAACTCTGGGGAACATCAGTTGCATTTATTTCTGGCAAATCGGTTTAACATACATGAAAATAAATGAATCCAAGAACTTTAAGGGTTTAAGAACGAGACATAAAAATAATATATAACATAATTATAACAAAAATACAGAATAATTGAGGTTTGCTAAGGCAAAAAAAACTACAAAAATTAATGTTTAAACAATCAAATTGAAAATGATTTAGCATTTGTAAGAAAAATGTTTTTAAGAAATGAAAATTGAATAGAAAATCTATAAACCTCTTTAATCTAATATTATTAAACCAAATGGATAAATTACATATGAGAATAAATATAAAACTTAAAGATTTTCAGCAACTATGGTTCGTAGTTAAGTAAATAAAATATTTGTACATATTGTTTATAAATTTGTATACTTAAAGTTTATTAAATTCAACTTAAAAAGGAATAACAAATTATTACTTAAAGTTTCTTCTCTTTCGAACAGACTTAATTATTTATGTAATGATCTTTCCATATTTTTATAAAATAACTCAATAATGCAGGAAAAGTAAACAACAAAAAAACAATTCAACAGTAGGCCTTGCTATATATTTCTTCATATTTACAACCAATTAAAAGCACTGACAATTTGTAATAATTTTGTAACCAAATAAATGTGCCTAATATTTAGAATATATGTTAAGCAAATAAGACTACTCTTAAAATTTGGAAATATCCATTAAAAGCACTAGATAAAATCAAAATCATTTAGGACACGATTTCTCTTCCGTTTTTGAGGTAAAATTTGTCGTATCAGAGATGACAAAGACTTCGATTCCAGATCGCTTTACGAGTCACGTTTTGAGCCATGAGCCTGGGACGTGATTGAGGCTGCTCAGGGTTAGTACCCGATCTCTAGATGAATCACATCTGTGCCATATTGATCTGCCTGGCATTGGATATATATTCATGAATGCCATCACGTCGGGACTGAATAAGGTGTTACCTTTCCAAATCGCATATGAGTAATATCTAAGTGGGACGATAGGAGGATAGTATTCCATTAACACTCACAATTCAAACCTACTTAAACTTACCTCAGAAATCATCTTCTCTACGTGTTGTATTTGTATCTATTGTATAATAACGTGTTGTTTTACTTCTTGAATCAAAATACTCGATATTTTCTTTAACGCAAAAGGCGGCAACGCGACAGGCAATCATCAACAGCATAAAGCAAATCTGCAGCACAAAGGCAACATGCATTACATCGTCCTGCCGCAGCAGATCGAAATTGTCATTGGTGATCAGAATATGACAGATCATCACAACAAAGACACTGGCCAGAAAAAGGCTCACTTCAACGTCCCGTATGAAAAACCAGTTGGTAAAGAGATCTATGGATCTAATACAGAATACCAGGATGAAGCCCAGGCAAGCCAAGACAGCTACCTTCGTGGGATTGGGATATAAACGGTTTATGATTAGCAAATAGCTCACGAGCAGGACGAGTCCTGAGATTAATATTCCCGCGCCTATCAATATAAGGGTGTGGAGTAGATTCCATTTACTCAGGAAGAGGGCTACGCCGATGGTTAATAGTTCGTAGCAGATGAGGACAAAGATAATGTTCCAGGGACGCCTGTACCTCATTGCCTCGAATAGGTGAATGCAGGCGAGCAGGATGAATCCGGCAAGGAGCAGGATCAGCGTAAATAGCAATGGATTCTTTGAGTACAAGCAAATGATCATCCACTGGGGAATGGCTATCAGCACGAAGAGTAACCATATTAGCAGTGTCACCAAGACGAACTTTCTCTTGGAGAATGTATTATCTGCGGGCTCCATGGCTTATCGCCACTGAATTCCACTATTTTTGCTCTTGCTTCTCAACTCTCTGGCTAAGACTAAAAATTTTTTAAAACATTTCCGAAATACCTAATATATAAAAATTTAGATAACTTTAACTAGTATAATTTTGTTTGACAACTGAGGCAAAGATTATAGGAACCAGCCTCCTGCGACAAATCTATTATATGGCAGCCGCAAAAGTGCCAACTCTGCCACATATCTTGAGAGAGCTTCCCTTTGAGGACCTCCAGGGGGGTGAAACAAAAAAATAAAATTACATAGCCGTAGAAGCCAGAGAAACGCTAAATAAATGACAAAATACAAAAAAAAAAGCTCGCATAAGCTGCAAGGACACTTGAGGCTCAGCAGCGGCCAAAAGTCCTTTGAAGTTGGATAAAAACCCGAGTCCCGTGGCCCGGCCAGTTTGTCTCCAAGGAAATACAAAAAAGAATAAGATCGCTGGCAAGAGGAGAGTGCGGAGTAAAATCAATCTGCGATAACCGATGGTAAGAATATGAGAGGCTTTATAATGCTATACAATAACAAATACAGCAAAACGACTACCAGAGGCCGGCGAAAATACGTACAAACAGCTGAGGTCAAAATAATAGTTTTGAAATAATATATAAACATAGTTAAAACAAAGCATACTATACTACTATATGTTATATTATTTATTACTAATTTTTCATATCTTTTAAGACATTTATAACACTTGAAATGATTTCATTAAAAATGTATATATTTGGTTAGGTCTTAGGACTAGCTAAAAAAAAACTCCTTTCATTATCCTTAAATTAAATAATCAGATAAATAAAATGGTTTCCAAAATTAATACTTATTTTTTAGCGAATTAACTACCTTTTTAAGCTCATCTGTGCAGACATATATAAGAAACATAATGAAATAATAGTTAGGTGAGGTTAAAATAATAGTAATAATAATCATAACATTCTTAAAATAATATAAAACATAGTAAAAACAAAGCACACTATACAACTATATGTTATATTATTTATCACTAAACTAATATCTTTTAAGACATTTATAACACTTGAAATGATTTCATTAAAAATATTTTTTAATTAGGTCTTAGGACTAACTATATAAGGTCTTCTCATTATCCTTAAATTAAGTTATCAGATAAATTAAATATTTTCCTAAATGAATACCTATTTTGTAGCGAATTAACTACCTTTTCAACCTCATCTGTGCAGACATATATGAGCAGCATAATGAAATAAAAATAAAAGGAAATGTTTGGCTGGGAAATTGAATTGGAAAATGCTCACACAGAAACACACACTCACGAATTGAATGGTGGATAAAAAATAAAACCAATCAAATAAGGGAGAGTCAAACCGGACTTCACCTGTCGCTTATTTTCGTTCTTAATTTTAATTGAAAATTTGTACAACGTCGTCATCGTCTCTCTCTTTTGCCCATTGTAGTTGTTTGCAGTGCTTCTCGTCTCGTTTAATTACAAGCGATTAAAATCTGTGAAAATTTATTAAATTCCATAAATCAGCAGAGCTCTCCCCGCCCCTCTACCCTCCTAGTTGATTCTGCGGTCATTCCCCTGACAATTATAAATTATGCGTTCGTTGCCGGGGCCACCTCTCCCTCTCTCCTTCTACACCAAAAAAAGGACGAAATGGCTTAACCACAAAATGTCACTTCACCCGCTTGCCTGGGTTGACTGACAATAACCGCTTTTTAACGTTCCTGATTATGTAATTATATGGGTTTGGGTAGAGAAAATACACACCCTCACATCTTCATCCACCGAAATCGAATAAAAGTATGCGGTCTCCCCCTTTGCGAGGGTTAAGATTCCATATATAAATATATATCCACACCGATCTGATTGCAGTTACCGGGACAACCTGTTTGAACTCTTGTGACCAGGCGACCACAAATCCATATGACCAATTAGAGGGTTTTACACATCAATTGCATTTGCTTACAAATATTGTACAATTTACAATTTTTATTTACAATTTGCTTTAATTGACTTATTCTTTTCTAGGAATGAAATATCTCCAAAACATTTATTTGATTATGTATATATATATATATATGTATTATATATAATTATATATCAATATTTACATATAGTACAACAATATATTTTGATAGTTTTCACACAATTTGTTGAGGAGATTTGTCATAAAGTTTACTATAAATATGATAAGATACTTCTTAACATAATAATAATATAATAAATATAATAAGTTTAAAGAAAGCAAAATATATAACATTAAAATTATAGAAGGATAGAGGGGTCTTACGGAATTATCTTAATATATTTTGAATCACAATTTTCTCTATTTTAATTATGAACTTTGCATAAGATATAACAGAAAATAATGTAGGGACCGTCTATTTTTTGCGATTTTACCTTTAACACCACATTTCCATTAATCTTATATATATACAATTATTTAATATTGTTTACAATTAGCTTATAGCCAAACATTATTAACAAATATATTCGATTTAGCATATATTTTCCAACATAATCCCACAATCATTGCTAACCATTCATCACGACAAATTACAATGTCCGGGAATTGTGACCCACGCGAAAAAAAGTAAATAAAAAACACGCAAACAAATGATAGGTACAAAACAAAAAAAAAATCTAGGAAAACCGAAAAAAGAAAACAGACCACAGACAGCAGTTAAATGATGCTACTTAGCCGATAAGAACCCAGCGAAAAAATCCAGCTCCAAAGGCAGGACAACCCCAAGCGGCGCGTTATTTGTTTTGTGTGCGTTGTCCAAAACAATTTCCTTCCTTAATCACATGCTAACAACATGGAATTGGGGGGAGAGACAAAAAATTACATTTATCTGACCAAGGGACGAACAAATCAGAAAGATTCACAACAACAAAATGTATAGGAACACTCGGAAAAATCAACAAAAGTAATAACAATGTAACAATTAAAAATCGAGATATTTGAAATTCATTTAAAATGTTGTGCTGCAAATAAAAATACAAAAAAAATTGTTTAGTAAGTAAATTTAATAAAGTTCTTTTTAAATAAGGTTTAAAACTATGTACTTTCTTTTCCTGTAAATATATGGAGTGCCCAGGGACAACGTTTCTAATTGTAAAAGATAAAAAAGCAAGGCGAATCTAACTTTGGGCTGCTCAGTCGACATTTCTCGTTAGACCCTGGCAACAAAAATCCGAAAAATAAAAAAAAGGAACGGTGAAGATAAATGACAGGCAAGTTTTGGAGATGGGGCTGCCGTGGATTTAGGATCTGGCCAGGGCATAAGGATAAGAGGGGAGGAGTCTGCGTGTGTGCCTGTGTGTAAAGACATTTGGCGGCAACTGTAGCATACTTTCGAGAGCCTCTGCTGGGCTTTCAGGACATTCTATGTATGCCAACAGCTTGTCGAGTGTTTCTGGGGTTCGTTTTTTCGCTCTCCGGTTTTTTTTTTTGGTATTTGTGCTATCGATGTCGCCATAAGTTGTGCAAACCCCTTCAGATGTCGGCCGCCTTGTCCGCCTGCCACAATTTCACCAGCTTCGCTCTCTCTGCTTGACCAAGTGCAAAATGTCAAGTTTTTCCCTTTGATGTGTGGATCGGATGACGGTATGTAAATTCGTTTAGATTCGTTCGTTTTAATCGCAAAAGAAAAAAACACCACTAACCTATGGAAAACAATAATCTCACTTCAAGCTGATTACTTTGTCTAATGCGAGCCGAGGTTATCTGGAATCTGATCCGCTGCCCCATGAAATTAATTCAACTTGTTTTGTTGTCAGTCATATGCCAGCATTTCAATTGTTAAAAGACAAATTAGTCTTAACTTGAGAATGGGGAATTTCTTTCACTAATTAATTGAGCTCTCAAATTGATGAATTTAAAGATCTATAAATATATATAGGATCTAGGATGAGTCATTATAACATAAGTCTGTATATTAACGATTATTATCAATTCTGAGTGTCGCATTCTATTTATCTCACATCTATAACGTATCCAACTGTGCATTTTCTCATGGCAAATTATCGAAGATTAATGATAATTAAATTTACCACCAACCCTCATCGGGAACATTATGGGATGGGTTTTGGAATCAAGAACCAAGGGTCATTGAGGTAATCTGTCACTGGCCTCCTTAAATCCAACTGCAAATTGAACAATAAAATAATTATACAACCAATGCGGGCATTTCAGTTAAAGAAAAACTAACATTTATCCAGAAATCAATGCTGATTCTTATAATTATAACTATCACTGAACTTGACCTCCATTTGAATATGCGGGTATTTTACCTCTTATATGGCATGTAAATCAAATTCATTAAATATAATTTCCTTGTGATTCTCACATCCTTATTGTTCGTTCACAAGTTCAAGTCGAATTCCTTATGCTGTTTTTTGGGGGTCGATAGGGGAGGCAATTTTTATTGGATTTTATTTTTATTGTCCTACATAAATTTATTTATTTTATGACATTTTCTGGCCATTTTTTTCTTGGTTGTGGGCACATTGATATTTGACAGTTATTGCGGGTTCCGGAAACGCCCAGTTTTTCTGGTTCCTTTTTATGGTATGTGAATTTTTCTTTCGATTATTTGGTCTATTTGTTTTACTTGTACGGGAATGTGGGCTAGAAATGTTTTAAGAGAATATAAAATTGCAACAAAATACATGGTTGATACTCAAAATAGAAGTAGTTATTATTAAATTAAACTAATTTCATCAATGTGAAATTGAGAAAGATTAAGAAGTGAATTTATTCTTAACAGAAGCTCAATATTATTACATAGAAGTTATTAGTGAAAAAATAGGAAAAAATATCTTAAAATCATATTTAATAATATAACAAGTTCAATTTCCAAGTAGCAAGCTCTTTTTGTATTCGTTTCAAAGGAATCCTAAAATAATATAATCGTGGGTGGCTAATGAATTTTTTCCTTTTGGCAGGACTTCTGGCTGATGAAGCTCGTCCAATGCTCCACGGGTCAAGGATATTAAATCTTGTACAACACCCTCATAAACAGCATTTTCCTCAATTGCCCAACCCCAAGTTAGTCGTAAAAAATCAGGGAGCGCACGTGTCCACCTTTTTATATTTTCG